ACATAGGTACCGGGACACATAGGTACCTGGGTACTGGGACACATAGGTACCGGGACACATAGGTATGTACCCCTGCCGGGACGTACCCTGGGTACGGTTCGGTATACCGGAACGTATCCTGGTAACTATCTAGCTGATATGGTTAGGGTTAGTGTTAGGGTTATGGAGTAGGCGTAGGCAACTCCCTAGACTCGTTAGTGGAGTAGGCGAGGTGTGGTCCGGCATATTAGATAGTAGTATTTAGTACCAGGGTACGTTCCAGTATACCGGACCGTACCCAGGGTACGTTCCGGCAGTACCCTGGGGGACATAGACCCTCTCAGGACCAACTTACTGCACCCACGATCATGATGATGTGCTAGGCCAACGTATGCATAGGGTCTGCTACTCGTCACCGCCAAACGTTGCGTTTGTGGTTTGCACTTCTGTGAAATAAATTGATACGTATAAATATTATCGAGAATCCGCTTGGTGTCAAGGTATCCATCATTCCATGTGGGATTGTTAAGAATGTATCCAGCGCAGCGTGTTAGAACATGTACACAACCTACGTAATGATGATGACCTGTACGTCTATAGCCACACCAGGCGATTATTACAGTATCAGACAAGACAAGACAAGATAAACTACACCGCTTTTTGACCTCTGACAAACTTAATTCCCTGCAGAAGTAGCAGGGCTTTAATGTTAGAGTAAAATAGTGTGGTAAAAAATGGATTAACTTGATATTTTTACTCAATAACTTCACACCAAGGCACATGCCCATGTGTTTTTGCAAATGTGGCATGCAAACAGCGTTCGTAATTAGTGCTGGCCCGAGGCCACCAAGTTTTTGCTTCGGCCACCACCTCTACGAAACTGCCGGTCCTCCTGACCCGCACTTTTCCCCCTCATATTACGCTGAAATACTACAGTTATCGCAACGGCAGTTTAGACAGACTTGTAAATGGGAGCGCATTCTAATACGCTCCGTTCCTGAACGTAGACGGGGTATCCAAAACATCCTCCAATCATGATTCACCACACGAACAAAACCTTCTGACAGTCTAAGAAATCGATTGCAGCATGAGATTGACCCCAGTGTTTTTATGACCGCATAACAATAAGTTCATATGTCGCAGGGGTTATCGTGGGGAGTGAGGGCACGACCAGTGACACCTGACACGCACGTAATCAAAGCTGTTAATTGAATTCGGCACTTTTCTTTACGTAGAAAGTGGACTATTTTAATTCAGTTAGATATCTAGAAGCAATGTAAACTGTATATACTTCAAGATTCTAGGCACTTGTAACTTTGCGGATGTGCGGCAGCATTGATCTATGCATGGGGGTACCCAGGACTGGGGAGCAGAAAAACGAAAATTAAAACCTTTCCCAGAAGCTCCCCCAACATTCCTAGAGCTTGAAATATATTATTTGACCAACTCTATGTTACATGTATGGTGTTAATGCCAATGGTTATCTTTATATACTATTTTGTTACTCACTGCTAGTAAATAAGCGGACCACCAACTTTTGTGCAGGACCACCGACTTTCTGAAGTTGGTGGTCCTGCTGTTCACTAGATTTTCAGCCAAAATTCAAACCCTGCATGCAAATGTGGCTTTGTGTCCAATGTGACAAGTTTGTAGGGCCTAAAGTCATGTACCGCTGTACGTCATGGTAGAAATACCAATGGAAAATTGGGCTACCACTTTTCATTTTGGGCCAGAAAAAATAAATTTCTGGTGGCCCAAAAATTTTTTTTTGGGCCAGCCGAGAGTGTCAAGCACTGTTTTACCAGAACTATTTGTTAGTCTACTATGAAAGCACTTCCATTTCTGCAGAAAAATGTGGCATAGTTTATTAGGTAGGCTGTCTGCAGGATGTAACACATTATCCTTTCAACCAATAACATTTTCGGACAATTTCAACTCTTACCCTTATCAGGGTGCGAAATTAACGGGAGTTTGGAGTCAAATACTCCCTGATTTACTGTCGGACTCCCTGATTTGACATATATGCAGGAGTCCGTGTGACTCCCTGAAAATTCTGCCATACTATACTAACTAGTTCGTTCCAGAGCACGGCCTCGTGTAATTACCGTATTGTTTTAGCAAATGTCCAAAGAAAATTTGGCAGACGTGCAACCGCATGAATCTTCAAAATAAGCACGTGTTATTGTTAATATCTTTAATTTTAAACTTTAGACTGCGGACTCCATCATTTTGCTGCAGACTTCCTCTTTTTGAGGGTAGGGAGTCCAGTCCGTTGGACTCCGTATTCAAAACTTAATTTCTACCCCTGCTTATTATAAGGTTTATACACATAGTGGTATTGAAAATGGTTTAGAGTTAGGTTGTTATTAGGCATTATGATTGTGGAGATAAAAATCATAGTTACGAACTTATGGATGTACATATATGGAATACATATATGATATATGGATTCTATAGTAGACTTGAGTGAGTGTGAACTGCCTCCCTCCATTGTAGAATTTCTCAAGTAAGCCATTTGCTGGACATCGTTAGTAGTAGCAAGTTGGCGTAGTAGCTAACTATCATACTCACTATTAGGTGATAATATAATTTTAATACATGTTTTTAGTTTTGGAACATATTTCAGGAGTAAATCCTTTAAATGTAAGCATGTTTCATTTTTATTTGTTACCGTAACTTCATCAGGAGTACACGAATAGATGAATAAATCTCTATTCATGTACTCCTGGTTTTATTCCCTTTCCTGAAGCAACACATCTCGCTATTCACGTAATATTTACTATTGTGAATTTTATGACGTGTGATAGTATCGTTGGGTTGTAACATTTATCTGTAGCTAGGTAATGTATGACAATGTTTGTTTAAGAATGCTCACGTACTCACTTACTGTATATATAACACGTACTTCACATATCTGCTGGTAATGGGTTTATGACAATTGTTTTGTGTGTGTAAGGTGTCAGGCGTGTAAATACAGGCTCAGCACATATTTTGTTTTTGCCTGTGTTAACCTGTATGTCACAGCGTGTAGGCTGTACGTAAGGCTTATAATTTCACATGTAAACGCTATCATCACTGTTCAGAACTGGTGGATGATACAGTGTTACTGAACAATTTGATTATATATATATATATATATATATATATATATATATATATATGGTGTATGAGTGTATTTCATAAATTTGTCAAAATTAAGCGATTTAGGTTATATAGCTGAAAATATAGTACTAGTATAAGATGGGCAAATGAAAATGTGAACATGGGTGGTGGGTATAGTTTACGGGTAATGCTATCCCCCGGGCGTGGAGGGACCTCCCTCCACGCCCGGGGGATAGCAACACCCATAGTTTACCTACATCCCTTACTGGTCGAACTCGGCTGCAGGCCATATTTAGAAATGATAAGGACCAGTGACCCTTTAGTTGTTGGACATGCGCCCACCATGTTTATAGCTGTAAACGTGCCGCTGGAATGCTACCCATGACATCTGTATACTGAACGTGTGAACTTACAGTAGCTAGTTAAGGCAGCAAGCCTACATCTGTCTATTTGTCCAGTTCCAGTGAATACAGACCCCACCGGCCTCTAGCGGCCTTTTCAGTAGTAGCTGAAAGGCGTATCAATTTTTATTTGTAAGCAGGTCAAGAGCCACTGAGTATTATAGACACGAGCAACCTGTTCCCTGAGAAGAGAAGATACATCTTACTCCCGCACTTATCCTAGTCAATGGTATTCGCCCAACTCTATGACAGCTAGGGGTAAAGTGTGTGAGGGAAGTGACGGGAACTAGCAGAAATTTTTTAAGAGACTGATATTATCGTTGGCAGTAAATTTAGCAACATTGTTGACAGTAAATTTAGTAATATTGTTGGCAGTAAATTTAGCAACAATTTTGGCAGTAAATTTAGCAACGTTGTTGGCAGTGATTTTCGCAACATTGTTGGCAGTAACTTTAGCAACATTGTTGGCAGTATATTTAGCAACGTTGTCGCGACAGGTCTGCAATTTAGAGAGAGCGTCTGCAGATTCCAAGCAGACCTGGCAATTTGTGCTTGCCCGTCTGTTTACGCAACCTGCTGTACACTATGCTCGTGTTTGCAGTGGGCGGGTGTATATATGTTCGTAGGTGTACGCACAACTTCTGTGTGAGCGTGCTTGCGCGTGCGAGCGATGTCAGGTTTGCGTGTTCCTTCGTCGTTAACTAACATTTTAAACTCCGGGTTGCAGGCTTGCAGCTGCTGCACTCTGGCGATGTAGTGAATTCTTTTCACGCAAAAAAAAAGTTTACGGCTGGAAGAAAATTCTGCTCGGAGGCGGGCGGGTGGCGAATTTTTTTTCCTACACGTTATATCCATTGGGCTTGATATATGTATACGCATATCAACTTCCGCATGCATCAGACTTTCCGTATATCAAGGAATGATGCAAAAATCATAACCATAACCCTAACCCGAACCCTAACACCAACCCGAACCCTGGCTTATATACTGTCTATGGTATCCCAAACATAATAGCCCAATGGATATAACGTGTAGGAAATAATATATAACCCTGAAGCCTAGGAATCTACCCACGTTCTGATGTTTGTCTCTCTATTCGCTGCTGCCGGCAGCAACGCTGCAGCCGCCGCTTTCTCTGCGACATATATATAATGCAACGGCTCGGCAGGAAAACACGCCATTTCCATCGAGAGAGGCGTTCAAAACCGAACCTATACTGTTAGGCATGCTCGGGAACCATTGTGTTTGCGGAAGAGGGAGGAAATTGCGAGAAACTTTGCTTGTTTCTATATGCCGATATGGCGAGGGGGCGGTCGTGTCACGCACGAGCAAACGCACGCACGCACGCACGCACGCACATTCATGGCATCAGTGAATGGATGTACTAATTGGATGTAATTGATTGCTGACCGCATGCATCTCATTTCACGCGCAACAGTCTGCAGGCGCGGTCCGTGCGTGGAAGTCTTTGCGTTGTAGTAAAGTCAATAAGAGAAAAATGAAGTCGAGACTTGTGAAAACACAATGTCTAGACAGACAGTCATGATCAGACTGCCTCTGCACACGTATGTGTAGCTGGTTACTCACGGGTGATTCACACGGTAATGAGATGTCACATTGGGTTGCAGCTGGCAGGTGTGGAGTGTTAGAGGATGCTGACTATGAGTTAACTGCCACACAGTCTACCTACGCGGATGATGGGTGGCTTGCAATCGTGGTAAAGCCAGGAGTAAAGCGGTGGTGCGAGAGGGGAGGGGGGAGGAAGAGAGAGAGAGAGAGAATGAGCGAGAGGCAGAGAGCGAGAGAGAGAGAGAGAAAGAGCGAGAGCGAGATGCAGAGAGAGAGAGAGGGAGAGAGAGAGACAAAGCGAGAGCGAGAGAGAGGTGGAGAGGGCAAGAGAGATAGAATGTGAAAGACGGAGTAGCATGAAGGAAGGGAAGAGGAGAGAAAGGAAGTGAACATATTAAAAGCGAGAAACAAACGAGAGAAAGCATGTGCTCGCATGAAAGAGAGAGTGAGAGGGTGGGGAGAGAACGAGGGAGGGGTCGAAATAGAGAGAGCAGCAATAGCGCATTGTAGATGTTTGACAAGAGTGAGTTGTTAGCAATTGGCGGGTTAGCAATAAATCAATGGAGGTGATTTTGAAATCGGGTGGACGGATTAAAAACTGTATCGTAAATGCCCAAACATGACATATTTACTGTACTGTGCGCAAATTTGCAGAATCAGGCAATTTGCATGCTTCATTACTTTTCCTTACCATTACCAACAGGAAGATTGAAGGTTTTTCACCGTCGGTTCGTCTGTTTTCTTACTCGACTTCATGCAAATTATTCCGACTTGTTCTAGGGGCCAGCAAAGCAACAGCACTGGTGTGAAATAAGACTGAACTGTATACTAGCTTTATTGTGTCATTGTGAAATCTACTGATGGCATCCCTGATAAACGTTCAAAGTAAATCGTGCTAATTTAGGGCAGTTTTAGTTTAGGCGTAGTAGCTTATAGATGTATATAGAAATGCGTGTTGTTTATTGTGGCCCGATAAAGCACTCACGTCGTAATGTTTTCATGAATTTTAAATGAAACCGTTTTAGCTTTTACTATTAAATGCGAATTATTTATTAGTCATAGTGCACTTACAATCTGTCTGTTCAAAGATTTTATAAACGTCATTAGCGCGCGAGATTCTACAAAACATAAAAGCAACATATAGCTGATTGAAATGTTATACGTATTCAGCGGCTCGTGTTTCTGTCTGCACGTGGAACGAAATTCACTTGTGCTGGCCGTCACTTGGGAAAAAATTCTGAAAATTGATTATTATGCTGGCCTGCAGATCTAAAGCAGTCGTATTCGAAGCGCACAAAGCAAGACAAATTACATGCGAGAGTGAGTGTACCGCCCACCCAGTCGTTAACTCGGCTTACATGACAGCACATGTACGTTCGTGTACGTACAGGCTGGCGGCATATATGCGACCTGCATGCACTACTGGCTTAGTGTCGTCAGCAGCAGCCTAGTGTTTGGTGAGAAAATATTCGACTGGCCCCGAGCCTTTCTACCCGATTGCCAGCAGTGATTGGTAGTTGATCCTGCTGTCTACAGCCCATGAGCTTTTGTCAAGCGTGGCGACTCAGGAGCTCGCAGCAGGAGGCAGTGGTGGGAGGTTTGTTTGCTGGCAGATGGTTTCGCCCCTGATTTCCACTCTCTAGCTATCTCTGCGGCTAGTTTGACAGCATCACCTAGGAAACATGTGGGTGAATAAAC